TATACGACGCCGCGGCGGGAAATCTGCCGAAGGGGGCAGGGGGGGCGATAATCATTCTCGTCGGTCTCTAGAACGCCCCAGGGTAGTTTATGTCGATTATATGCTACTTCTAGGTTGTTCTGCCCCCAGAACATGACGGTAGGAAATCGGGACGGGATGGGGGAGACCTGGTTATTATTATTCAGTTTAACCGGGAGCCTGGATGCGGCGTTGCAGCAGAGGTCCGTCGTGCTGGTTTGGGTATTCGACGGCGTTGGATGCGACGCTGTGGCTGTTAGGCTGTGTAGACAGGTAGATCGCGGCGAAGCTTTTTGGAAATGCTCGTTTAGCAGATAAGGTATCTGGGTGTGTTGCGCATAAGGGTGTTCTTTCGCGGGATATGATCCGTATATTACTATATTTGAGTCTATACTCCTTATTCACACCTAACCATAGCTGATTGATACTTGGGGATAGGGGCAACACGAGTTTTTAGGATCAATTGTTCCATTACCTAAAGGATCACGTACAAGCAGAAATTGATAGAAATCGCCAGGAGATATTATTATGGCCGATATACTACGAAACAAGTAACCGTGACGTTGATTGATCGTCACGTATTTGGTTTAGGCAATTAAGAATCAATTCTGTTGGGACGAAGATTACCTAGGTAACCTAGACTCATGTCGACAGGCATTCGAGATATACCGTAGATCCCGGGCTTGGCATTTGATATCGTACAATCCTTTAAGTAACCGGTTGTATCACAACGCCTATATTCCTACGAACTCCTATATTACATCACCGGGCTTAAAAGTCCAATTGGCGAAACACCAGGGCTGGATGATTCCAGGGCCATAGTTGTGATAAGAGCCCTAGAGTCCCGTTACATATGCTTGTATTCATCACCGGGATTATCTTTTCCTCACCCAGCGCTCCGATCATCGCTATACGGAAAAATCAGCACACACTCCTATGAATCCCATCCGCCAGTCTCGCCGCCTTCCCCTCCAATACCTTAGCCGACTCCTCCGTAAGTCCTCCCTTCTTAGCATCCGTTCGCGGGCGGCTATCTCCCGCCGGCTTCTGCTTATGCAGGATCGACAGGTCGACTTCGTCGTTGTCAATCAGCGTTTGCGTCACGGAAACCAGATCCGTGATTAGGCGGTCCAACAAGTCCAAGCTCATGGACTCGCGGATCACGACGCGCAGAATCTCCGTCTTGTCCTCGTTAGGCGGAAGGGCGTAGTTAGGAATGATCCACTGCCGCGCGCGCATAAGAAGTGATACCCATTCTTGCTTGATGTGTGGGAATTCCTTTTGAAATTCATCTGCTAGCCGGAATGATACTACCGGAAGTCCGGCTATATAATCGGCTGATGTCTCCCCTTCCTCGCCGAGGACAGCGTGTTTCGCGCCGGAAACTACGCTTGATGCGGTGTTCGCTCGGCGGTGGATGTCGGAGACGCACGTGTACCATCCGGTGGCCTCGATGCTCTTGGACAGGAGGCGCGCGTTGCGAAGACAGTTCTCCATGATCTCTCGGTACCCGTTGAAGCCGAGGTGGATCAGGTTGTAGTACTGCACGATGACTTGCGCTCCGGGCCGTGAGAAGTTGAGCGTGAAAGACTTCTCGGTACCGCCGAGATAGTGCAGCTCGAAAATCAGGTGCTGTGGTAAGTAAGACTCGTCCCGCCAGACAATCCAGCCGACGCCGGCGTAGACTAGACCGTATTTATGACCAGATGTGTTAATAGATTTGACTCTTAGAAGCTCGAAGTTCCTTTACGTAGATATTTAGCATACCACTTTCACAAGGGATCTTCGGAGTTCCACTTACCATTTCGGCCCGCCGGCTTGCGCATACGTAAATGGTGCAACAAAGCCTCCAGATGCAGCATCGACGTGAATAGGGATGTCAATGCCCGTCTTTTCTTCGTACTCGTCGAGGACCTTGGAAATTTCCTCTACGGGTTCGTAGTGACCGGTATACGTACTTCCCAAAATGACAAACACACCAATCGTGTTCTCGTCGACGTTCTTCCGTACAAGATTCGGATCTAGTCGGTAATCGCTTTCTTTGGAAACCGGCAAGATACGCGCTTCGACGTCAAAGTAGCGCGCGAACTTTTCGAGAGCAACTTGAGCATTAGCGCCCATGATGATATTAGGGTTAGAAGTGTCTAGGCCCTTCGCCTTGCGATGCTCCTGCCAGCGGCGCTTCATTGCCAATCCCCCGAGGTGAATAGCCTCTGAAGATCCGGTCGTCGCTGTACCCACAGCCTTCTCAGTCTTCTTGGCACCCCAAAGGTTGGCGATGATGCTGACGCAACGCTCGTGAAGGGACATCATGGCTGGATACTCGTCGTTATCCGCCAAATTCTTGGATAGATTTTCCGTCATTAGCTGGATAGCATTTGGCTCCATATAAGTCCCGACAAAGCTAAGGTATTGTAAGCGTCTTCTGCAAATTAATGCTTGAGTTTGAAGAGAATATTGTTACCTAGCAAGGTTCAGGTTTGGCCTGCCATCCAAGTCCAGCTCATCGTGGATTAGTTGATACACCGTATCAGCCGGCGTTCCCTCCTTGGGGAGTCTGTATTTGGGTGCATCTGACTCGCTTGCATACTTGGTACCGTAAGGTGTCAGATGCGAAGTGGCCATCTTCTGGCGCAGTTGCCGACCATTTTCAGTAAGGTTGGCATCGTGAAGGCGCTCGATGAGCTCCTCCGGGTCGATCTACGAAGATGGTTAGTTGAGAAATCAACGTTTAAGAGTATTTGATTCTACTTGCATGACGGGCTAACGACATGACGGCTTGCTTTTGGGTATCAGACTATCAGTTGCCGGTTTACTACTTCCCAAGTTGGTTGATGGTGTACCGAAGGAACTGAAAGCCAAGACGTTCCAAGACGTTCGCGGGACCTGGGCTTATAGGTTTATATAACTACGGTAGTTAGAGATTGTTTACTAGGTTAAAGTCTAGGGGTGGCCTAACTTTCTTCTACAATGATCTAACTGTTGCTCACTCGAAGCCCTTTCCATCAGGATGACCTCGTTGTCCATTGTTAAGAGACTTAAGGATAGGTTGATATTGGTAACTTTGACTGGAAAGTTGGCTTCCTATGACGGTAATGACGTAATTGCTCCTTAAAAAAGCCAAGGTTGGTCCATTTCTTTCGGAGGTCCTCCGGGTCGCAAAACCCAGCGCTCTCTTTACTACGCCACGAAGCTCCGAATTAAAGCCTTTGACGCGTGTAATAAAAGAGATTATATGCCACACTTGTCTCGATAAATAAAATACGATGCTGCGTGCTGACGTAACTTGACGTTTGATCCCACCACATCCCATCAGTCCATTCTGGGATATATCGGATATATCTGCGGGGTCCAATGATCAGTCTAGAACCCCTTTTACTACCTAACTTAGGTAGGTAGACAATACTATCTACTTTGCGGAGCTCTGAACAGCGCAAAGCAGAACGTTAGCCTAGTCCATCATCCCACACAGGAGCACTATGAGTAATATAATAGGTCAGTTGGATGAGGCGCTGCCGGATTTACCTCTGCCGGAGGGCATAGTCTCGGACTACGTTGATTGCTCCGCATCGTGCGGTCTTAAATGGCACGTTTTGAAAGCCGGCGAACCCGGAAAGCCCCTCGTGCTTTTCTGCCACGGGTATCCGGAGCTCGCGTACTCGTGGCGCAAAGTGCTGCCTGCGGTCGCTAAAGCAGGATACTACTGTGTTGCGATGGATCAACGCGGCTACGGACGGACCACGGGATGGCCGCAACATCAGCCCTTCGAGGAGGTCGACCTCAACGACTTTGTCTTTACGAATTTAGTGCGCGACTTGGTGTGCCTAGTATATGGGCTAGGTTATAAAGCTGTACATAGCATCGTCGGTCACGACTTCGGCGGCGTAAGTTCCGCCATGGCCGCGCTCATGCGCCCTGACATTTTTCTGTCCACAGTGCAAATGAGCCATCCGCACCACCGACCCGCGGAACCCTCATCTCCCCAGGAAAAGGGGGAGGTAAAAAAGGTAGATATTCAAGCCGAACTAGCGAAGCTCGATCCGCCCCGTAAGCATTACAAGTGGTACAACTCAAGTCCACACGCCGCTGAAGATTGGGAAAATCCAAAGCAGGGTCTTGAGACCTTTCTCCGCGGATATTTCCATCTGAAGTCGGCAGATTGGGACGCCAACAAGCCACGACCCCTGACGAAGTGGGGTGCTGAAGAACTAGCCCCCATGCCCGAATATTACATCATGCGGGCAGAGCACTCGATGCCCGAGACGGTGGCGTCTAATATGATAAGCGAAGACTCTTTAAAGACGGAACGGTGGCTCTCGCGGGGCGATCTGCAGGTGTATTGCCGAGAGTGGGCACGAACCGGCTTCCAAGGCGCGCTGAACTGGTACCGGGCGCAGACGGCCTCGACCAAGCAGTCGGCACGAGATATGCTTCTCTTTTCGGGACGTAGAATTGAGGTGCCGTGTGTTTTTATTAGTGGAAAGCAGGACTGGGGGAATTATCAGCAGCCGGGCGCGCTTGAGGGATATGAGGACCCTAAGGCTGTGAAAGAGGGTTGTTATAGGGGCGCCAAGCTCGTGGACGGTGCCGGGCATTGGATACAACAAGAACAACCCGAAGCTGTAATTAGGGAGATTTTGGCATTTTTCGAGACTCTGTAGATGTTTCTCTTTTTTTTCTTTTTTCTTTTTCTTTTTAGCAAGTGGGAAATCATTTGACCAGATATTGTTGCAAATTTGATGCCTACCCCATATCAACTCACATCCGTACGAATAAATAAACTGTAATACTTGAAGATGTTAAAGAGAGAAAAGATTCTTACGTGAAATGATTATGACCTAATTACCCACCCAGCTGCCAAACAGTCATACTAGAATAAGACAGGGGAAGGCGGGATAGTACATAGTACCTACTAAAAGGAAGAGGAGGGAACAGAGAGAAATAAAAGAAATAACTAGAAAAGAAATAGAAAAAAAAAGGGACACCACACCCCGGACTCGAACCGGGAATCTTCGGTTTATTGACTCATTGCAATAGGAGACCGACGAGTTAACCATTTCTCTAGTGCGGCTATGCACCCGCCGTGCGTTTACCACTCGACTATCGCCTTTGATGCGGGATTGATAATAGTTGCCATTATTGGGATACATAACGCAAGGTCAAGGTTGGAAGGTTGGAAGGTACACGTCATTTCTTATCTAGAAACATATTTGAGCAGGCACCCATCCGGGCAGCAACGACGAGGTCAACGGCAAAAGGTGAAAGTGCCAGGTCACATAAGTATTTACACGCAAGTAGGTATCAACACGATAGAAGGTATGTACGAAAGTATCTAGCCTAGGGGGTACCTGCCTATCTGCACCTACCCGCACACGAATTCTCCACCTGGCTTACCGACTTCCAATAAGACGCCCCTGCTTGACATCAGCTTGATTTCGAAACTTGGTATCGAATATATTTGATTCCTCAGCAAAAAGCAGTAGGTAGGTAGCACCCTCTCTCTCCAATTTAGGTCAAAGCTTCCACACCGTAATATCCACGGGTCTACGTACATCCTACCTACCTACCTACCTAGGTACCTCCATACCTACATCCTACCTCATTAGGTACAGGCACCTAGGTAGGTACCTACCCCTATGAACATCTTTACGTAGGTCAAAATGAGAACCGTCTTGAGTCATTCATAAAAAGTTTCCACAAGTCCTATTCTCGTGTCAGCATTAAGCAAACACTTTTCTACGAATGTGGGGGGCTAAATCAGCACTCGGATTACTTTCATCTTGGCCATTCAACTTAATTTTTGTAAGACTTGATAAGTGACATGAGTGAATCTCAAATTACTCTAGTAGTTCTAGGTATCTTGTTCATCGTTGACTTGTCTGTGGAAAACGAGCTGAACTAGGTTTAAACAAACACCCGATTCGTAACAGACTTCATGTTTAGCAAAGATACTAGGTACTCCGTCTCGAGTCGGCTGTGGGCTCGTCAATAACAATTTAATCCGATGATAATTATAGAGCCTTTCCATATTATTTATATTTCTTTCTCTCGTAAAACCTGATACCATCTATCATACAGAAGACTGTGATGGTTGAAGGTAGTTGTCTAATAAGACACTTGGGTATATTCTAGGTATATACTATACCGACAGTGCCTATAACTCTTAATAGCTCCCTAGCTGGATAATCTTCGCTATACCCCCATAGTCTTGACTTTATAGATTAGGATACACTATACGACTTCAAGTACGTTATGGGAGCGCTAAGGTCACGTACGATGAGGGATGAATTAGAGAAACGAACTGCATCTCGCGGTGAGGGGACGATACTTACCGATGATGATTCCCGTCCTATAAAGACAAGAGAAGACGACATATCACCTACTCAGCTTGTCCTTCATGGGACCAAGCACAACAAAGCTATTTGCCCAGAGGCAAGTTCAGTAGTATCCGTGGGGATACCAGACATAAAAAAAAGATAAGAAACAAGTTCTGATCGGGCGCCAAACCCCCATTGCGGTAAACTCGGAATGAAGGTATGCTTTACCCGATAATGACTTACTTCTAGAACGCATTCGGATCATTTCCATCCCGCTTCTAAATTCAATCGACGAAGATATCAATTCGGGTTCCCAAATCGGTGTTACCTTTCTACGCCCATATAAGTTGCTAGTGTATCAAGAGCCGCGGCTCCGTCGACTTCATTCGAAGCCGCGAAAAAAGATCGAGGTTTACCTTCAAAAGGAGAACAAAATAGCCTCTTCCATAGCATGGCCTACGATTCAAGACCCTGCCGACGATAGCGCATCGGAAAAGCTTTCGGCCAACGGCGACAAAGAGGACGTTGAACTGCCTTCAGATGTAATAGTTCTATTACAATTGGAATGGTCGAATTACACCTAGTGTCAAAGAAATCCAGAAAGCAAAGTCGGATTACGTTGCTGGAGATAAGCGCCACTGGATTTTATTTAATGATCTTTGGAATCTCTTCAAACTGCGGACTGTTATCCTTGAACAAAGAGAGAAACAAGCTTACAGAGTGGTTTGCGTCAAAACCCATACTCCTAGGGCCGTTCCTCCTTGGCTCAAGTGGTTTAGAAATTCCCAGTAAGACCCCTCAAAGCAACCATTTATTCTATAGTGTGGCAACATATAAGCCAATATACTATATGGGATCTACGCTAGACACCCAAGAGGTAGTAAATCAAGTCGTTGTTGTATATATGGTGTCAGTAGGAGTGAAAGAGCGAAGGAGAACTACGAAAGCAGAGTGCTTAGTAAATTCGACAAGAGAGCTTAAAGAAATGACAAAAGCCTCAATGCTGAACCTAGTGAACAAACCAGCTTTCGGCCACCCACTTCAAATTTCAACAGGTCTAACCAAGTAGTTAATCAGATAGCGCAACAATACACATCGTTATCAGATACGACCCCCCTTACGAATGCACAGTATCAATAGTATACCAATCCATCAGTACGGACAGTACATATACGGTAAACAAACCAGAACACCACTACCACAGACGCTACTCAACCTCAGGGCTAAGCTATACAGCAACCACAACATTTCCCAGTCCACCCTTATCAGCCGCAGGCACAAGAACACTCTCAGCAGTTTTCACAAAATCTTCAGCAAGGTGCAGGCATCGCTCCTAGCAGCGGCACAGACGCCGGGAGCATAGCGCCTGATCAAAATAAGACTTCTACGAAGCCTATGGGTCTGGATACTAAGACTATACCTAGTTGATATTTATCAGCCCTTACGGGACGAATGTGAATATAAATATTAGCGATCGTTATGTAGCGGAAAGCTTATCCATAGGCTCTAGAGTATAATCAAATTTAAAAGATTGAATAACAGCCTATCTTATATAGCAAAGAATAGATAGGTAAGTACACAAAGCGTCTCATGTCATGAATATATTTTATCACCACAACTAAGTGCAATATACGCAACTCCCGGGGAATTTGCATCACAATTTGTCCTTTAACTTAAAAGTCTACTTTTTTAAATTACTACATACGAAGCGTTATTGCTAACTAAGCTCTATGTCTTGGTGCTGTTAAAAGCGTGACTATACCTGAAAGTATGGATACCGTCGCCGATACTAAGCTAGGTAGACATAAGGCTCAGTATACCCTTTTGTTAATAGATAAACAACGGCGTCGTTGAGAAAGCTTATGTATATCACTAACATGTATGAATACTAACAAGCCACGGGCACACCGTCGCCGCTCTCAAGATGTCTACACCCTCATAGCTAGCTGCTATGCAATTCCATACTACTCTTGTCCAAGAGTTGCCGCCCCCTTTTCGTGACACCGGCTCACACCCCCGTCCTAAGTAAGTAGATAGGTACCTACCTAGCGACCTAGAGTGCTTGTTTTATGAACCCCAACAGTTAGCCATCGCCAGTAACCTTCCCCGTAGTATGAGGTGGCCAAGTTTCGTCCAATTTGATTGGCATAAGACAGAGCTCTATACTAGACCCCTCGTCCTCGCCCTAGTGGCTTTTGGTGTAGGAAACTACCTACCTAGGTATGTACCCTAAACTCATTGGCTACTAGACCCACGATACCTTCTCTTTCTAAGTAATAATTACTACCCAGTGGCCATCAGGTCAACTTAAACTTGCACTCGCCATAATTAAATTTGCAGCCAACCCACCCACAATTCCACTTGCACCTGTACCTCCTTCCAAGCACAAACAGGGCGAGAGCAAAGAAGCATATTTTCTCCTGCACCCAAGCATCTACAGTTTATCCTTCTCTCCCAGAAAACCATCTCTCTCTGCTCTTGAATCATCATCTTTCTATCTCTCAGGGGCTCGTCTACTTTGCAGTTTAATTCTATCAACTCCTGAGCACTAAGGCATTTCATCTTTTAGAACTCCACCCCTAACTTAATCCTAATCATCTTGCAAACCATGTCCGCCACGCAGGATTTAAACGAGTCGGAAAACAATATCCGTGGCATCAATACTACGCACGATATCGGTACTCAGACTGTCGACGTGGGATATCTACGAGCTGTTGACAGAACCGTACGTCCTCCCTATTCCCAGGCTAGAAGCATTCTACTAACCTCACATCTATCTACGTAGGGTCCCAGCTCGTCCCATATCCCGCCCTCCCTTTTCGGTGAGGATTACCCCGCCAAGCCCAAGATCAACGTTATCATAGATGATTATGAGAGGATCGAAGTCGAATTTCTGGGCGGCGGACCTGACTACAAGGGACGAGACAGAATGCCCTTCCGCTCGGCTACCGACGCTGCTGTCGATTCGTCGTTCCACGCCTGGTGGCCGGAACCTCAGTCTTACATCATCCTCGCCACCCCTCGCAACCTGGACGTGATGCTCAAGGGGCTGGGCTATCTCCTCCAGCAAAAGAACAACGCCTACATCCGCTTCAGACGCGAGCATCAAGAGTACGAACTCGATTACTATCATCGCAAGTACTGTACGTACGAAAACGATCAGACAGCGGAAGCAATCAGAACTGCTCAACCGGGGAGCTTGCGTCTGAGCTTACACTACGCCGACGCCAGTCGACGCCGTACCGCAGTGCGCAACGGCGGCAGGCTGATTTTCAAGCGCCATAAGTCGGACGGATGGACTGCGTTTTTCGACCCTGCCCAAGGCGAAGCCGTAGACTTCATCACGAAGGAAGACATCTGCCTCTGGGAATGCGAAGATGCCCTGGGGCTCGTCTTTCAGTAGTGTGAAGATGCTTATCAAGGCTGCTCCGTTCCTTTCCCTCAGGATCGTGACAACATCCTCTCCAAGGCTTTTGGCATTCTAGCCCTTGTCCCGCTGGTCTTTAGACAAATCATATGAGCATTCCGAGGATTCTGTGTTGTAAGTCTCTGCTCGTATTGCCTATTACTTAGGTAGCCAGCACATCCTAACCGCGGCTATAGTCCCCCAGCTGCCACAAATCGATGATTTAGCATTATCTATCCGCGCGCTTGATTTATGACCCGGTACCATCTGGAGAATTTCCCACTATACACATCCGAGTTGAAACATTTCGAACAAATAAGTCGCATGCTTTCACATTAACACAAATTG